CCCCCCCCCCCCCGACGTAACCCTTCCGTTCGTTTGTGTCGCGTTGCAGCTTTCCGCTAAGGAGTGCAAGAGGCTGAGGACCATCACGGAGAACTGCGGGTTCACCCTTGAGAACGAGGGGCAGCTGGACCTGTCAGCTCGCAAGAACATCTTCCAGATCGAGGTGTGTTGTTGCTAGTGCTGTTGTTTGTTGGTGGTGCTGTGGTTGTTGCTTGCGTCGTTGTGGCTGATGGTGGTGGTGTTCTTGCTGCTGCTGCTGCTGCTGCTGCCGTTGTTTTTACTGGTGCTTGCGGTGTTGTTTGTTACTGATGCTGTGGCTGTTGCTCGCGTTGTTGGTGCTGATGTTGCGGAGGTTGTTGCTGTTGTTGTTGTTGTTGTTGTTGTTGTTTTTGTTGCTGCTGCTGCTGCTGCTGCTGCTGCTGCTGCTGCTGCTGCTGCTGTCGCCTTTGTTGCGCCGGTTTTGTTGACCATACTACTGGAGTCGTCTCGTCTCAACTTACCCGAATCTCCTCACCCAAGCGAGCTTCTCGTGTCCTCAATACACCCAAACCTCAAGTCTGTCTTGTCGTGAGCTGTACTTACAATCGAATCGACATCGTTTGCCGTGCGCTTGTTCGGCCAGGCGGAGGACATGATCGAGAACGGGGACATGGAGGGGGACAACGGCAAGGAGTTCGTAGAAGAGTTGCAGGCGAGTTGCTTGGCGGCTTTCACATGTACCTGCACATTGATGTTCTCTTCTGGGCTTCTAGTACGACAGAGTTTTGTCACCCTCTCTTCCGTTGTTTGTTCGATCTTGACCGTACCTGTCTCTTTTCGTAGCTTGTCCCCGACACCGCTGATTTTGCCCTTATTCTTCGGCTATTTTGTCTTTCCCCACAAATAAAAAAAATCGTCCCTGTGGTCACCTCCTCCTGTGTGACCCCGGTTTGTACAGTGTCTATTCTACGTCGACATATGCTATATACTAAACTGTGTAGACTGGCGCCAGAGTGGACGGGACGAGAAACACACAACATAGGCATAGGCACACGGGAGGCCGGCAGCTTACCCTAAGGGGGATTGATTGCCTTCTGGCACATCCGCTTTTGCTGTCTCGTTTCTATTTGTTTGGTCCCGTCGCTCTCTCACTCTTTTGTATTTTTACTCTTTCGTGACTGTAGATGACCAACGTATTACGGGAGTCTTTGAGCCCCACGATGGAGGCATGCGCTTGGGGATAGCCTGTCATCGTAGGTTGCATGAGATATGACACCCCTTGTACCGAATTCCAAACTTCTATTGTTCCACGACGCAGACGATGCCGAAGTCATATGATTCAGTGTCGGAAGTCTCTCGACGAGACAGTTCAAAAGCGCAATTCCTGGCACCGCCACTCCTTCTGTCGTGGAGTAATCGAGCTCTGGAAATCGGCCAAAAGGGGGTGTGGTTTCTGACGTCGTGTCACCTTCGGTAGTACCGTATTGCTCAACAAACCACATCCTCTGGACCGATTTTCAAAGCTCGATTACTCCATGACAAAGAGGATGCCGAGTTCATTCGACACGTTTTCGGAAAGTTCTCGCCGAAACGTTTCCCACGCCTCCCGCCATTTTCGGCGCCGTCCCTGTGTTTTCTGCCGAGAAATCGAGCTTTAACAATCGGCCCCGAGGGTGTGATATCTTATGTCACCTACGGTAGTCACGCTCCTATTACTCTTGTCGTGTTTCTTGTATTATCTTCCGTAACTGTAAACGACTAACGACCACTGTTGTAGTACAGGAGTCTTTGAGCCTGACGACGGAGGACGCGCAAGACGCCCTGGTGGCGCTGCTGGAAAGCAGGTCTAAGGGCATTCTCAAGAACGTCAAGGCTGACGCCATCGAGAGGAGAGACGCGAACATTCTCAAGGCCGCAGAGCGCCTTCTCAAGTGAGTTTCTGTTATTCACAATTTTTTTTGGAACATTTTTTTTCGGTGGTGGCATCTCGATGACCGAAACAACATTCGATCAGGCGAAACCAATGTCCTTTTTTCTGAACGGAGTGTTGATATCCATTTAGGGATTTAGGGTGGTGACGCGCTATGTTGGAGAGGAGCGGTTCCGTCATTTGTGGGCTCGTTGCTCTGATATTGCTGCATAAGAAAGCGGACGGATTGTTATTGACCCGGTCTATCCGGTCTAACGTCACCCCCCCCCCGCAGAAGCAGAACGTGTCCTCGAGTCGGCATAGCCACAGCGGTAGCGCTTCGTGCGCCGTCCGGCGTACATGCACGTGTTCATCACCGCAAGAGCACCCCATCTCGTTGGTTGCACAGAGTTGTACCGCTGTTGTTGTCTGTTGACGACATGTAGCATTTGTAACATTTTTTGTCCTGTTGGCTTGTGTTGTCATCCATGCGACCTCTGTCTGATTATTCGAACACGTTGGCCTTTGCACGAAGAAGCACCGCTATCACTACGACCGACGTAGGTCGTCCTTGGTCGCAATCTCTCTCGTGACGTTCCGTTGCCGTCTCGTGTGTTTGTTGTTTTCCTTGCATTCTTCTTGTGGTTTATTGTTCTCCTTGCATTCTTGTGGTTTGTTGTTTTCCTTGCATTCTTCGTGTGGTTTGTTGTTTTCCTTGCATTCTTCTTGTGGTTTATTGTTTTCCTTGCATTCTTTCTCAGGTACTGCCGACTGGCCGGAGGCATGGCGGTGGAGAATGACCTCGACCAGCGGCAGCGTAACGTCGTCGTCAACGCCTACGAGGCCAAGCACGCGGGTTCCATCGAGGAAGGGTCGGAGGGGGAGGCGGAGGAGCGAGCGAAGGTTGCGGCCGACTTGGGTGAGTGCTCCTCGTGTTGTGGTGTTGCTGCTGGTGTTTTGTTGAGAAGTTGCTGTCATTTTTTTTTTTTTTTTGGTTGTCATGGTTGTTGTTGTGGGTGTCATGGAAGTAGTATTGTATTTCTGGTGTTTTTTTTGTGTTCGCCGATTTTTCTTTTTTGGTAGGTGGCAGAGGTGGATTCGTGCGGTGGCGACGTCGCGGTGTTGGTGTACTTACGCCAACGGGTTGTTTTCTTACCGCAATCGTGGTCCTAGCACCTTGTCCATGCCTGCGCGTTGTGTGCGGTTTCGTGTCTTGCCCCATTCATCTCACATGGCCAGTAGACAAAGTATGCGAGGTGGGTCATGTTGCCTGTACTATTATATAGCAGTGTTGACTCTATTTCGTTCTCATCCTCCCTCCCTCCCCACCCCGTGCCGCCCCGCGTCCTCTACAGATTTGTTGAAGATTGCCATCGGAGTCACGTCAGAATAGAAACGTGCGCAGTTTTTGATTGAGGGTGTGTCCAAAGCTGCCGTGAGCGCCAGAGTGGCTGTGCGGGGTGTCTAGGTGATGCAAGGCAAGCAGGCCGGGCGGCATAGACGCTGTTGGTCGTGGTCTTCTAGTGGGTCCGGAGGGATCGGGGCGACGCGCATTAGAAAGTGGGCTTGGCCCCTCCCTCGCCCGCCCTCCCTCAAAACGATTGACCATCGGTGATCGTTCATGTGGGAATAATCGTTCGTGCTCTCTAGGCCAATGTGCTAACCAACAGCTAAGGCATGCAATATTTGTGTCTTTCTCTACCTCAGCTTGTTTGCGGAACACGGGACAAGGGCATCGAAAGGGTTGGGCTTGCCGGTCATTGTCGAACGGCACGCGGGGGGTAACATGGAAAGCAGCAGCCCTTGTTTTGCGCCGCTTCTGTAGGTGTTCCTAGAGCTTTCACCATGATGGAGACCGTAGCGTACTAGCAACGCGACACATTAGGACGTTCGTCTGACGGTGCAAGAGATGTTTTGTTTTGTGCGTGTGGCAAGACGGAGTACGTGGACATCGCGGTCTTGGAAGGTGATGTTGTTCTGAAGTTGGGAGAACATTAAAGCGGGTCGAGAGGTAACTTGATGAGGGGCTGATGCGATCGTGTGTAGGATGCCGCAATCGTGCACCCCGCCCCGGCTTGCGTCGTCTACCGAACGAATACTACTTTCGATGGGGTTTCACTCTTTCGTAGTCCGTACCCGCTCACGTCTGCAAGGATGTTTCGTCCTTCTTTTTCTTTCTGCCAGAACTTGCGTCTTGCTTGCGTAGCCCCTTGATACTCCGTGCGATAGTCTCCGAGCTGTTTGCGTGGCACGTCTCCGTTTGTCCTGTCCTTTCGTCGTGAGGGGGTTCCCGCCAACGGGGGGGTTCAGGGGGAGGGGGGATGACCACTCTATCTTTTTCCAATGAACACCCGCACCCGGGTTTGGTATCAGGCGTGTTTCGTTGGAGCAGCTGGTGGATATCGCCTGTTGTCTCTGGGAAGTGGGCGTGGGGAATCGATCGCGAGCGCGTAGCCGCTTTGCTGTCTGTGTTGTCTTTGTCGTCTTCGTTGTTTTTTTATTCCCCGCTAGGTCTTCGTTTTTTTCAAAATCAAACAGGTTTCGCATGGTTTTGCCTTTTTTTTTTTTATAATTTTGGGTTCATCTGAAGACTGTCGATGTGGGTTGGCTTCCCCAAAAGCACTCGTTGTGTGGTGTACGTTCTTATTTAGAATAAGCACGACGTGCATGGCACCTTGTAGCTATTCCGATGACCACCCAGTTGGCTTCCCCAAACTCACTCAAAGTTCATGAGAGCTACAGATGACCCACCATCAAGTCTTGGGGGGGGGGGCATTAGCGTCCGCGTGGCCTCTCGGTCTATTAAAACACAGAAGGTGCAAACAACCGAGAGAGGGCCAACGACCCCAATGCTGTCCTGGCCGACTGCGATGATGCATCCGCATCATGGAAGTCCCGAGTCACCGCGCCGGTATTTTAACACCATGCTGCTGATCCACACGGCATGATATTGCAAATGTCATGTCTGAGCTCTCTCACCATCTATTAACCCCCAAGCGATATTGTTCCGAAGAACAATCTTGAGACCAAAGAATCGTTCGACTGGACGACCGCCTGTCTCTCCAAAATTGGCCCCGATTGCAAACTTGGGTTGTACTGCGAAAATTAATACGACCAACTCTTGGTGACATTGTGGCGCAGAAACTGAGACTTTTTTCTCCTAGCGGACAACCAGACCGTTCCCTCTTCGCGGCGACCTCGCATGACCAAACTGTTTACGGTTCGCCTCGTCGAGGAATTCAAGTCAAATGGGGGAAGTAGCCGTGGCCCACGGCAATCGAACAGATGTTGACCGCCGGTTGTAGGAAAGCGCTAGGGATAGCCACCTTGCATCGAACGCCCTCCTGCCAGATATGCACATCATCGAGCAAAACTAGAAGTTCTGTTTTCTGGTTTGGAATCCCATCTTGTGAAGGGGGGCGGGGAGAATCCCGCCCCCTTCCCGTGTTGCAGCCTCCAGCTCGTTAAGCCTACACCTGCCATTTCTTGAAGAAATCGTTTCCTGCGGTTGTAGGGTGGCCAGAGCAGAAAACGGAAGTGGACGGACGGCAAGCGCGACCGAGCGGATTCAACCAGGCGCTCCGGGAGAACACACATCGATTCGGAGACGTACAAAAGCCTGTGACAGAAAGCTAGGATCTGCAGCAACAAAGTACCGTACACATGACTGTGACACGGTGCTGGGGCAAAGGCGGCGTGATCCCGATTATTTCGGCTACCCGTCGCTACCCGTTTCGAAAGCATGACGCAAGGTTTTCACGCTGTGACGGCACTTGCTCTCTCGTCCGTGACTGTTTGTTCCGTTGGAAGGTGCCGTTTGGCGGAACACTTGAGTTCTCATCGGGATGCCGTCACGATCGCAGATATCTGACGAGTGGCCCCAACTCCGTCCATCGCACGCAGGCTCTACGTGTGTGATCATACCATGACAACATATTCAAAGCACACGCAAGAGGCCGTTAAAAGCGTCTTCCGATTCTATGCGTTGCCGCGCCGAGACTGAAGAATTTTCATTGGTCAGTCGGCTAGTGCCGTCGATGCCAATAATAGGAGCACACATACACACAGATATCATGGGGGTTAGAAGCGGGCTCTGTCCTAGTCTCACCCAGAAAGATGTATTTTCGTTCATTTTCCAGCCGGCGAGTGCACGTAATACTGGCACCCCACCACACGTACAGGACACGTCGAACGTTTTCTCGCAAAACGCCTTCAACGGCGATTGATGGCGAAGCTACCGCGCAGGCTCTACGATAGTGATCATGAACCGACAGCAAAATCAAACGTACCCACAGAGAGCGATCATTAAGAACCGACTAATATTTCTTGTCGAACCGAGAAAGGACGACTTTTCACTTGTCAGCCGGCTAGCGCGGTCGGTGCACATAAAACAGCTGTCAAAAAAATCTGCGAAAGGCTTCCAACGGTGATGGCAAAGCTATCCCGCGCGTAACGCCACCGCACGCATGACGCATCGGACACTCAAAAAGAGGACATTGGAACAAAGCGCCTTCTACAGTGATTGTGATGGCGAAGAAGTTATCCCTCGTGCAACGGCACTGCTGACCTTTCCCATCGACGACGATGAACGCCGGGAAGTTTTCCACCTCGATCTTGCACACCGCCTCCATGCCGAGCTCCGGGTATTCTAGCACTTCCACCTGTGCGCCATCCCGTCCCGTCCCGCGAGAATAATACAAGAGACCGGTACGGTATTATCAGCATCCGTGGTGCGGGAGGCGATAACAAGCGCTGAGATCAAATACTGTAAGAGGCGGAGAGATGCCCCCCCCGTGTTAGCGATGTTGTGTAGCGAATGTCTCCACGACCAGGGGGGTACCACTGCCGAAAAGAGCAGCAGTTTTGGAAACATCCCGTCGAGGGCTTTCATGAAAGGCATCGGTTGGTGTTCGCACCTCCCTGGTTATGGAGAAATACGCTACACAAAAACGCTAACACGGGGGTGCCATCTCTCCGACTCTTACGGTACTCATGAAAACTCATGCCGTAGTCGGTCGACCATAGACCTGGCAACCCTACAAATACAACGCCGGGACGGATCGGGTTTTCGCCGGCCCAGGCTACGCTTCACACGGATGGGTCAGAAGGTTGTCATCATCCTTGCGGTTGCTGCGCCAAACCAGATAGGCGTCGCGGAGATGCAGAGGAACATCGACGGAGGGAAATCCAACCAGTATTTGATTCCAACTACAAGTATTAAATATGCCCTCTCACCTTCTTAATGCAGTTTTGGGCGAGGATGGCCGCGGGGCCCCCAATAGACCCCAGGTAGAAACCCCCGTGCTCCTTGCAGGCCTTAGTCACCTGCTTGCTCCTGTAAAAAAAGGCGTGCACAAGCACAAGAGGGTCGTCATCCTCGTTTACGTCGTCTGCGCCGACAAAAAGCGACCGAAGGCAATGCATTCACAAAAACCGAAGGCAATGATTGCGCAAAAGAACACGTGAGGCTGATGTACAGAACCCGACTTTCGAAAAGTACATTTTGCCCCCCTCAATCGGCACATCGATCCATCGGTGCAAAGAGCCGTTACGCCAACATGGAGGAAAACGCCATACTTCTGTTTCGTGGTCCCCGCGAACTTTTGATCCTCGGCCATCGGTAGCCTACGCCAGTGCGCCCAAAACAGACGGGCGAAAATCTCGCCGCAATGACAAAAAAAAAATAGACCAGCTGCCGGGGCATCAATGATATCGTTTGCGTAGGCATGGCCGGTCGCCCTGTGTTACCTATTCCACACGAGAGAACAAAATAGAGCAGACGCGGGCACACCACCATCTACCTGTTCCCCTTCGCGAGCGTGACGAAACTGCCGCCGTTTCGCATGAAGCTGTCGACGTAGCCGTCCATCCTCCCCGCCGTGGTCGGGCCGAAAGAACCGGAAGCCAATCCTTCGGGTGTCTTCGCCGGGCCTACAACGCAACGAAAAAAGAAAACGCCCGAAACGGAAGCATAAATCAAAACGAAACTTATTAATATAGTTTCACACAGAAAAAAGAAAAAATAAATCTTCTCGGCCAATCCGCCGCCGACGGACCCCAGTAGGCGTTTTTTTCGGGTTGTAGATAGGGTGCACCTTGAGAAAACGAATACTTCTATTATTGCTTCAATGATGCCGATGTGCTAGCCATGGCGTCATCAACCGCGCGCCACGGCGGACAATCACACAACACAACATGAGAACATGAGCGATCATGAGAGCGGAGAGGACGAAATCAACCCCCAAAACGCGTGTTTCTTCCGTACTACTGTACCATGTTTTTATTGTTCCTTTTTCCTCCTGTGGTGCTGGCCGCAATGCTCACGTCAATCGCAAACGTAGACTGCTACCAGGAAAGATGGTACCAATACACCCACGCAACATCTTTTTGTCGATCAGTTTTCACGCTCACCGGCGTAGTGTACAATATAACTAAGTGGGTGGTCGTGTACTATGTACTACTTAAAGTAGTAGGTTTGGAGCAAATACATACTTGGTGCGAAACAAAATGGGGTCTTCACGCTTGGATATACAGTACCCCCAGGCCCTCTTCAGGTATCTCAGCATAACCTTTTCGTGCACCCCCACCGCCACCACCGAAGAACTTACCAGTTCAAGACCTCCAGCTTTAAAAAAAAAAAACTACGAACTTGTCCACAAGAACAGGTGCTCCTGCACTAAAACCTACATAGTCGCCGTGGGGTTACAGCAGTCCATCCACAAAACAAGAAACAAGAAACAAGCTTCGGCCAAAGCAAGAGGTTGTCAAGCGGTGGCGTGTCTTGTGCAGCTTCGATCTCGCGTACCGGCGTAGTATATGATGTGATCCTTCACGTAGTCCGGCAGCCCCTTCCCGGCGTCGATCCTCTCCTGCAGCTTGGCGTGGGCGATGTCCCTCGCCACCACGATGGTGCCCGTGAGGCTAAGCCGCGTCCTGACCGAGTAGCCCCCGAGAAACTCGCGAATCTTGTCCATCGGTTGGTTCAGGTCCACCTGCACCACCTGTCATTTTATTTTTAATATGAGAAGATATTTTCGTTCTTGATGGTGCTGTTGTTGAGCTGTAATGGCAGTGACAGCAGGTAACGACAACTAGGAACGGGGACTTCCCAAATCCCACTGCCACGGTCGATGTTAGTTCAAACAAAGAGCTAAACACACATACACACGTTGAAGCATTTCTTATTTTCAGTCGCACTGAGACTGACGTATTTTCATTCGCCACCCGGTAGGCGCGGTCAAAGCTAGTTCAAACAATAAACACACTCACGCACACGTTCGAAGCATTGTCTATTTTCAGTCGCACTGAGACTGGCGTCTTTCCATTGGTCAGCCGGTCGATGCTAAATAGTACAAACACACACACACACACACACACACATACATACCTCGGGCGAAATCTGAGACTCGTCGACCTCCGGCAAGTACTGCCCCACGTCCCTCTCAAGCTTCTCCAGAAAAACGCCCTCCGAGGTTATCTTCCCGAGAGCCTGGCGGTCCGCCGAGCAAGACACCCCGATGCCGACGGGGCACGAAGCTCCGTGTCGGGGTAACTAGAAGAGTGGGGTGAGAAAAAGCGGAGGGGACGGTGGGGTTAGAGACATAATGACCTCGCGATTGGGTTCTGGGGAAAGGTCTACAGAGGGGCAGGGGTATGAGACATCGGCTACCGCAGGTGGCATGACACAAGATACCACACCCCCTTGAGCGGTTTTCAAAGCTCGGTTTCTCCACGACAGAATGAG